GCAGATATAAATTTCTTGACAAATACCAGATATAGCATCGATATCTCGAATACAACTGTATTTTATTAATATACTTGATACACGCTTATTTATTTAGTTTCTATTTTCGTGTTTTGTTTTCTCAACTTTCTGAAACAAAATTTCTATCGAATAAAAATATCAGATTCTCTTTTTCTCGAGGGCATCGAAAATAGTACTTGGAAAGAGGAGTTTACGGTGACGCGATCGACGCCCTGATCTTAAAATTTGCATCGAAAGACCTGGCCTACCTGACTAATCGCATTCCGTTCGTCTTATATGAATGTTCATAATATGCAATTAGCATAAATTGAGATTCGTAGAAGCGATAAACGTGCGGAACGGCACGTTTCGTTGGCACTTACCTGTGAAAATTTTTCTGCGCGTAATTATCTCGGTCATGACCACAAGCGTCGAAACTGCGTATCCGAATTTCGTACAAATTTCAAGAGCCCAAAGAAATCTGCAAAAAATGTATCGCTTTATAAATGATCGGAGTAAAAATTGGAGTAGTATGAGTTTAATTAATATAATTGTAGAACAAAGTCTATTTATAGATGGGTTATATTTTTAATCTTTATAAGACGAAAAAAATATAATAATGTAGTGTGTCATATTTTAAAGCATATAATGAAATAATGAATTAACAAATCCTAGTCAAAAGGAAAAGTAAGAAAAATAGATCTCTCGGTTCTTCAAAAGATAATATATAAATAGCAATGGTGCAAATAGACGCTTTTATAATACACTGAGAGAAAAAATTGATAGAGCAATTACCATAATTTTGCTATTTAATTTATAGACACTTTTTAGGATAATTATATATTTGTAGTTGTTCTAATTTTACAAATATAGGAAATTGTATTATTAATTATGTATGCACACTGCTTGAAAATCTTTAATCTTTTCTTTACATATTTTTTTTAGTTATTATCACCATATAAATAGCAATTACCATATAAATAGCAAGTTTTAAAAACATAGTTATATTCACTGTAATTGCGATTGCATTTACTACAGAGATAAAAATTTTATTTTATTTATCATTTATATCTTATTATATTAATATTTGAAAAACTCATAATTTATTAATTCAAAATTAATATATCAAATATCGGACTACAAGAACCATATAGAAGTTGTTATTCACTAAAATTATAATTTAAAATCAATACATATATGTACATTACAAATACAGACGACGTTTCCTAAATGTGGTTGTCATCAGTGAAATTAATATTATATCCTAAATTCTTTAATCTCGCTGTTAGTCAAGTATATATAATAGAACATAAATTGTTGTTCCTTACTCTTAATATATCATTTTTATCCATGAATTATTAATGGTTGATTTATCTTGAGCGTTTGTTGTCCCTCAAGATTTGGTAATCACACAGAGGAATCATTTGGTTTCAGTGTGCCAGTGCGATATCGATTATCAATATTCTTTGATGGGATCCTTCATATATCTACAATAAATTCAGTTCTTAGACTTTTCTCACAATCATCAAATCATCACATTCACATTATACATTAAATAATAATCTATTATAACGAAAACTTTAATGAGAGATGCTAATTTATTATCATAATATATAGTATCATTTTTCGTATTTAAAAGAATATTACATACATGGTTATTATTATTAATAACAATACAAATGGAGTTTCTACTCATGATTACTTTACCATGTAATTGTAGTCGCGATTACCAAACACTTTTTCTAGTGTATATTTTTATAAAACACAAAGATAGTAAATGGCAATAAGGATAATTTAAATGTACAAAAAAAATATAAGTGAGATATAAATAAAAACATATAATTAAGTAATTAAAAATATAACATTTTGTTATATTTTTAATTAATTAATTATGTTTTAATTTTTAAATAATTTAAACAATTCCTTCCGACTCTTATTGCTATTTACTATCTCTGTTGTTTTCAATATTAAGAGTCCTGCATTTTTGTTCATTCATTCTTATAAAATTCGATAGATTTTACTCTTTTTTAACATTAGATGTTTTTTATTTTTGCACCACAGTACGATCTCGTTCACACTGATATTCGCGAATTTACGACGTATACGCTTCAACGGCACGTAGATGCGTAACGGGAGAAAGAAACAGCCCCCAGACACTTAAGTGGAAAGTATTATTTGTATCTTTTTTTAATGCGTTCACCGTGGATCATCCGCTTCTTCCCCTTTCTCGATACGCAGAACACGAGAGCGATACATTTGTTCGAATTCGTGTGTAAAGAAACGTAACAGTTATGTTTACGTTGAATAAATAATAATGAAAAAATATGGCGAAGAATGCGAAGTACAACATATATATTTTCTTTCCGGAGAAGTAACGTTTTAACATGAGATCCTTCATCGTTTCTAGTTTTACTTTTGCATTTCAACCGACGAATAAGCTTTATTCTTCGTGAGAAAAAAACACGGTAAAATCTCACCGGAATACCGAATTTCATATTCCAGTTGTGTGTTGCGCGGTTACGTACGGATGAAGCGTCGTTTAGATCCTTTTGCACACGTCACGGCTCCGTTTTCACTTTATTCGGGCTCTAAAGCTCTTACGCGGAGTATTGTTTGCGCGATATGCAACGAACGAGACAGGAAGGTAAGCCAATGTCAAAAGGACACGAACAAGATAGGAGAAACTTGTATAACACGTCGCTATAAAGCTTGTTTGCCAAAAAAAATGACGAAGAGATGTAGAGGCAGAAGATTGCAGATTTTGACATTAAGGTATATTAAAACGTCAGCTTATCTTAAATTAAAATGTTCCGAGATCTCTCACCAAATGAAACAGCTCTATATTTACGTAGATCTCTTTTGCAATATATACTCGGATTTTGTACTCATTTCAACTTGAATTTATGCAATTCACTTGATTAGAAATTTTTTACTTGAGAAAACTCATTTGGAACTTCGAGGTAGTTACGGCTAATCTAACCCAACTTTCAGAAACAACGCGATATACGTGTTTAGAAGATATTTAATAAAATGCTTTTATTATTTTACAAAATATTTATAGTTCATAAGAAAAATATATTCTTGTGACGCTAATGGAGTTAATATATGGATCTTTAAAACTCATTAAGTTTTCGTTATTAATTTTAAAATATATACAAAATTGCAGCACCAACTTAGTACATGAATATAGTACAATATCTGTAGCCTATGGCTAGAATAAAATTGTAGAAAATAAGATCATTCCAAAACATCGTCCATAGACTCCAGTTATAGGTTAATATAATATATAACATTTGTATTCACCTTATTAATGCTACCGTCAGTATTCAGGAACGTCGAGCGCGCGACTTTTTTGTCGCGAGCGGTGAGAAACGTAACTTCGCAATTGCCTCGTATTTACTAAATATTAGATGGCTCGCGGTGCGGGATTTCGGGATTGGCGCGAATATGAAGCACACACAGGTTTCAGGCGTTACCCTCGTACCTACGATACGTACAAATTCCTCGTTGAATTTATTCGGTCCGCCTCGTATCGCGAAAACGTACGCGCGCGCGTATACACGCAAAGTGCGTAGTATACATACGAAATTATATTCGCGGGGCTGCGTTCGGCTAGCCGGCCGGCCGGCCGGCCGGGTTCGAAAAGTAAAACGGCGTCACGCGCGCACGTGTGTGTGTAATACGTGTGCACGCAGCGCGAGGCCGCGAGAGGGCGAGCGAGACGCGGCGAGGAAACGAGCGAGACGAGACGAGAGCAACGAGGTGCCCGGCGGTCGCGCGCGCGACGGACAGAGAGACGCCGACGAGAGAGAAAGAGAGAGAGGGAGAGAGAGAAGGCGAACGGGCGTAACAGGGAACTACATGGCGAGCGCGAGCGAGACGGGACTACATCGCGGCCGCGGTGCGCCCGCGGAGGTACGCGACAACGGCGCGCATCGATTGGCGCTCTAGCCGTGACCCCCACCATGGTGCTTTCGCTTTCACCCAATGGGGCCTCACTTTCGCGCTCGCCCGCGTTCGGCGCCACGGCAGCCGGCACGCTGTCGTCGGCCGGCTTCTCTCAGTGACTGGTGCACCCTACGTGCGAGCGAGCGTTTTTCGTGCGTCCCGTGTGCTCGTCCCGTATCTTCTCCCGGGAGCGGCAGAAAGAGAAAGAAGACGACAACGGAAAAGGGCGGTGGTGAAGAAGAAGAAGAAGAGGAGGTGTAGGAGTGAGGAGCAGCCTCGGTGTCGATAATCGTTAACGTTGTTTTGTGTGCCCTTTCATCCCAGACTGTACCCCGCGCTCTCGCGTATACCGTTAAAGTGTGCCGATTTAAATCGTCGCGGCGGGTCCGTCCGTGAAACGCGACTCGCGCGCGCGCGCGCGCGCGCACACACACACAACACACACACACACACACTCACCGTTGGAAATTGCGTTGCACGCTGGGGCGGCGCGTACTCCGGCGCCGGTTGACCCTGACATTCGAGAAGCCGGGGCGGACACTCGTCGTCTCGCCCGCGCAGGAGCGACGTCGCGCTCGAGACTCGGCCGCGGTGAACGAACGTAGGAAAGGACCGCGTAGTACCTTCCGCGATTATCAGACTCTATACCTCCGCGGCGCGTTGCACCTTGACCTTGACTCCGCGGCGCGTCGATAGAAACCCCCCCGAGGAACGTCGTCACGTCGTGTTCCCGAGGTGGGTCGCCGCCGGAGTGCCGATCGCGCGACCCGCGATCCTACAGTGACACGCGAATGACCTTGATTCTCGACGAGGCGGCGCCTTGGATATCGCCGAGTCGAGTCGAACGCGAACCGGTCGGTGTTGTCGTTCGATCCCACGCCTTCTCGTCGTGTCTCTGTCCTACGTGAGGTGTGTATGTGTATGTGTGTGTGTGTGCGTGCGTGTGTGTGTGTCACCCCCGGAGATGAACAAGTAGAAAAGCGAGCCTGATCTTCGGCGTGGGTCACAACGAAGCGCGCGGCGTTCGTCGTCGCACCACCGTCCGTTCGAATCAATCGCGAGGTGCAGTCATCCGTCGAAAGTACGACGTCCGCAGTAGTAACGGAAGGGAAGGACAGAGCTGACCTTGAAGCCCAGCGCACCTACATGGCACCGCGGCGTCACGCCAACGGCGGCCACGGCGGCGGTGGCGGCCTCCTGGAGAACGGGGGCGTTGGCGTTGGCACCAACGATCCCATGGACAATCTGCTGGGCCCGAGCCAGACGACGCGCTGCTGCACGCCGACCGGCGAGTGCCTGCGCGGTGACACCCTCATCCGCCTCAACGCCCTTCACGATGCGGTCAAGGTCACCTGTAATAACGACAACTGCCCGATCGGCCAGTTCATGCACCGCGAGTGCTTCGACGCCTGGGAGCAGACGGTACTCACGTACCTGAAGAGCTGCGGCCGCGCCCGTAGCTGGTCCGAACGTCAACGTCATCAGAATCTGTGGACGAAGAAGGGCTACGATCTCGCGTTCAAGGCGTGCGGCTGCCGCTGCGGCCGCGGCCATCTGAAGAAGGACCTCGATTGGATGCCGCCCGGTCTCGGCAACGTGCCCGGCAACCGGCCCGACGAAAACGAGGCGAAGAAGAAGAAGCGGCGCAACCGTCAGAACACCAGGCCGAGCCTGGCCGTGTCGGCCGGCCCGCCGAATCACGGCAACCACGTCGTCGCCGCGAACGGCCGCGGCACCAGCGAGGCGCAGATGATCGAGTCCGGCCGCGGCAGAGCCGGCTCCTTGTCATCCAGCACCGGTTCCAGTTCGCCACCCGCCACGAGCGAGCCCAGCGTCAGTCCTCTTCATCAGCCGCAGGCCATCATGAAGAAGAAGAGCAAGGTCGACTTTTTCAGCGATCGCGCGAGGTGAGTGCTCTTCTCTCTATTTTTATTGCTCTCTAGAAAAGAAATAAAACGTCACGGGGAGCTTTCCAACAAGAGACACGAAATTCTTACATCCTTCTTGCACGCCAATGTTAAACAAAAATGAAATGATCACTGTGTTACACACTGTTGTTTGTAAAATCGAAGGAAAATTGACAGGTATACACAGTCATACATATTTTATCCATTCACGTACATTTATTACATTCTTGTTTCTATAAAATAATGTACTGTGTGATACGAAGTTTTCTATAAGATCGTTGTGTAACTACACAACAATTCAGAAATAAGGACTTCAAACGATCGAGCTAGATTTTTACTGAAATAATTCTGTTTGAATTTATATACGACAAATTTTTATTTACAGATTCAACAATAATATAAATTCGAGAGAATAAATCTAAATAAATACAAATCGATGCCAATGTGAACCAATATTAGTTGTTGTGTGAATTATAGGTAATTTTAATAGAAATTCAATAATTTAAATAAACGTTTCGACCTTTCGTTTAGATTCTTCCTCATCAGTATAAATTAAATTCAAATAATAAATTTTATAAAGAAGTAGAAACATGATGTTAAACATTTTGATTAAGATGACCTCGAATTTTTTTGAATGTTGTACAAATATAGTCAAATATTAATTATTTTCTTAATCAAAAAGAAGAGCAAAGGCATGACTTACACATTTGAATCTGAGACGAGAGAGTCACACCGATATGGTTATATTAAATTGGCTGATTTACTGTTAGAGAATGATTTATATAAATTAATACATTAATTAATATATATATATGTGTAAAAAAGAAAATAACGTTATTATGAATATAATAATTGATTGGAATAAAACGTTTGTTATGCTTATTTGATGACTGTTTAGAGTTGTGTGTTATAACTCACATATTGACAAGATGTTAAATCGGTATTGATGACTTAAGACCTAAACGAAAGGTCGATACGTTTATTGATATTATTGTATAATTTCTATTAAAGTTATCTACAGTGTTCACACAAACAACTAGTGTTAGCTCACATTAACATTAATTTATATTTATTTAGATTTATTTATAGATTTTTTTTTAATAGGATGCTGATAGAGCATCAAATTATCAAATTGCTTGTCTATTTTATTTGTGATATTATTACAGTAGTCAATTAGTTTCAAGACCGAAAATAATTTCTGTATTTTAAAAGAACTATGTGATGTTTTCTATAATATATTGCTGTTTTTTTTTTTAACATTAAAATTGCATGATATTATGTAATTATTCTCGTTCTCAATGTAATTTAAAATCAATTGCCTGATAATTTGTATTATATTATAACTAGCAAAGCTGAATTATTTTTATAGACGAAACCTTTTACTGAAATATTTTTGTAAATTTTTAAGAAACGAAATTTAATCTCGTTCATCATGAAAGATTGTTAATACATTAAGAAGAATATATCAAATTTTATAAGTATTTGTTTCAATAGTACTAATTGATATTTACTAAATATAAACATGTGTTTTTTTATAAGAATCATTAATTTAACTGACCATTTTTTTTTGTTTACCGTAAGTATTATAAATGATAACTTAATACCATTCAAACAAATATTTATTAAAATATACAGTGTAGAATTTCGAGTAAAAGATATTTATAGATATTTCGGATAAAACTTTTACATTGTGAGATAGAAAGGTATCGTTAGTTTTACGCAAACTCTCAAATGAGATTTCGCTGAAGAGAGAGAAAAGCCGAATCTTCGGATAAGAATGATAGATGAGAAGAAACGCGTCGGGAGTCGTTTTCCCGTCGAAACCTTCGTCGTCGGGAAGCATCGTAGTGTGGGTGTGTCTTCCGGGAAAGACGACACCTTAAAGCAGACGCGTGAGAATGAAAGACGCCAAGCGGCGAAGTCTTTCGACGCAATTTTATAAAAACACAAAAACTGGGAAACATATCTCGACCGCTTATACATAAATTGGAATTTAAAGAATGTATGCGAGAAGTAAAGACTGCTTACAATATTAATGCTTTATGATGTAAAAACTGGGTGTGGCTATAAGAAAGACTCGAGCACTTAATAAGTAGTTTCGCTTTTGAATATCGATCGTTCTTTTTTTTTTTTTATGCAAAAAGCAAGTTCGTTACGAGAACTCGGATAATATATAAATCATGAAAAATTCAAAAAGTCCAGAAGAATATTTTCTATTTTTAAATACGTCTCGTTCTAAAACGCTAGCCACACCGGAATAAATCTCGCCTTACGCAAATACATAGCAAAATTGGATTCGGTTTCGACTTGCTACTTGGTTCCTTGTTACGTAACCGCGTTCCACCGGACCACAGTTAATCCAGCCGTTTCTTTTACGAGTTTGTCGCTCGCCGCGCGTTTTATGATCTCTAAATATTTAGGTATAAAAACATACAGCGCGATTTCTATCGCGGCAGATGGTGTCCAAATGATGGCGAAGGTTCTCGGAAGAAACGCTCTTCCTTCTTAGGACTAGGCGGAAGCCTTTAACGAGGCAAAAAAAAGGAAGAGCTGAGAGAGAGCTTCAGATGTATCAGAGTAGCGCAAAAGTCTGCCGTGTTTCTCTTTTTGTCCTAATAATTATATACACTGACAAAAAATTTACCGAATGTGGCACAGCACTTTTAATTCGCTGCAGCAAGCAATTAAAAATGGCTATGGCATATTTTATCATTTCGATCACTGTGTAACAACCAATCTTTCAGTATATTATATTAAAGAATTACTATAAGCACTTATTAAACGATAGACTATGATGTAAGAAGCTAAGGTGTTGCGTATGTTGGTGAGGTCAAATTTGAAGCAGTCAGTCATCAAAATTTAACCTCGTAGCAACATATAACTTAACTTAGGGTACGGTCAATGCGACCGACGCTACAAATGCTTTAAAGCGTTTTTTGATTGGTCAATTTGTAAAATTCTTTCAATTGGTCAATCAAACGCTTCAAAGCGTAGTGCGATTTTGATCGCAGCAGCATTAATTTGTCATAGGAGGAGTCACGTTATTTTTTTCGACAAAACTCTAATTGATCAACGCTATTTTGTGAGTGAAACACACTTTATATTCTTACATCATGATGCGAGACCATCAGGTAAAAAGTGGTGATCGAGGAAAACAGCTAATAGGAAAGTCGTCGGCATTCGGCTCAGATAAAAGGTTCGCGCTATTTTATGCTACATCCAGAGCTTCAGAAGGAGCCTTCCATTGAAACTGTGTATCGCCCTGTATTGCGCCATTGCGAGTATTCGAATAAACGTCAAGGTCTCACGAAGTAGTAACGACATTCGACTTCACGGAGAGACAAATCGATTTCGATTCGTCGCTCCGTGAAACTCGACGCCAGGAATTTTTCTCGATGGAGAGGGGACGCGACGTCGAAGTTTGCGCAAATTCGATAGCGGTCTCAACCGCCGGTTAATTCGCTCTACTGACTTTTAATATTAATCGTTGCTCGCCGGTTTTGCGAAAGGGTTCGCGGAACCGGTTCGCGCACTCTGAAGTTCTGAAATATGCACGCGGCTCCATGCCACTTTTCAAGAGCGTTTCAAAGAAAGAGGATCTTATTACGGGTAGGAAGTTTTAAAAAAAATCAAAGTTTAAAGAATGTTCCAAAACTAATCGAAACTTTGCTTCTTCGGAGAGAAGCTTGCATCTGTACATTAATATGAATCTCGCGCGTTTTCTTGCACTGAAATTTTAAATTGGATAGATTCGAACTGCGTGAAACTACTGTTGAAACGTTGCGTTGGTAAAGAACGTTATATGAACTCGGTAAATTTCATTCGCTCTCGATCGCCTTTGTTAAAATTTTTCGACGTTTCATTTTGTGTGCGTATTGCGATGATCGGCAGTTCCTTTGTTTGGCTCGCTGTCGTAGACTTTTATATCGAAAGAGAACGTGTTAGTTTTTGCGTGAAATGTGAATTCGGTGCTTTTTTTAACTCACAATGCGGAAATTTGGTTAAACTGGTTAAAACGTCTGAAATATTCTTTGTTCGAAATTTTATCGGGAATATTTCATAATATTGATTACAAAACCAAATTGAAGTATCGGTTTACTACGTTTCTTTTTGCAAATGTATTTAAGTGACAAGGTCTTTTTATACGAATAGTTTATTTTCGTACTTTTTGTCGTAAAAAAATTATCAGGCAATTTCGAGCTGGCACATAAAGAATGTAAATAATTACTCAACCTTGACGATATTGCATAAAGATAGCAACGACACGTTACGTACGAAAGAAGTACGTTACAATTCTTCTTCCCGTGGGAGTTGTGTGGGTCAGTCTACGGCGAGATTTTAAACATAGACCACGTATTTTGACTGCTCCTAAACGTCGCCGCGAGACGCAACGCGGTAAAAAAAATCGTTGATACATTTGTTTTCTCCGACGCGACGATTTATATTTAGCGGTGTATTATTTTGCATGAGGGAAATGAAAAGAGCCGTGCCGTCGTCGTAGGGGAAACGAAAGGCGAGTCGTTTCACGTCCGTGTGTCGTAAAGTAACTCTCTTGGACGTGCGTTCGAGAGGGCATGAATGAACACGCCGCTGGTCTGTTTTCTCGTAGCGCGCGTAGGTCGCTCTCTATAGAGCGGCGTCGGTCGGGGCATGGTGTGTTGTGTGCATGTTGGGGTCGCTCTAGACCTCCGGTAAGAGAGCGAGAAGACGAAGGGCAGCGAGAGAAAGAGAAAGAGAGAGAGAGAGAGAGAGAGAGAGAGAGAGAGAGAGAGAGAGAGAGAGAGAGAGAGCACCACGACGATTACGACAGCGCTCCAACCCATAGTACGCGCTCGCTCCTCGCGTGTATATGCGCGCGTATATGCGTGTGTGCGTCCTATATATAGCTGCAACCTTGGAAACCTGTCCTATTTCTGTTTATGTTCCTCCTCCAGTTCGACGGGTCGGGAATTCTCTCTTTCTGGGCCCGCTGCTTCGTTTCGTCGCGTTGTAAGACGCCG